GGGGGGGGTATGCAAGTGCAAGATGCAAGAGGGGGAGTAAGTCCCCCAGAAACACTAACTATTTCAAGGAGCTATTTGATGATATCTGGGCACTTTAAAAGTGTCTGAGACAAAACTCTAAAATAAATTTAGAACTTTTCCATTGTTTTGTGGGGGGTGTGACGGGTGGTTAATACCCCTAGAAAATTTTATAATTTCAAGGTGCTATTTGGTGCTTTCTGGGTACTTTCAAAGTGTATGAGTCAATGAAAAAATTTTTCAAATTTTTTTTGGGGGGTGACAAAGGGGGGTGCGGTCGCACCCATCGCACCCCCCCATCTGACGGCCCTGAGGTACTGTTGTGCGTTTCGGCTTGTGTTTGCACGGGTTTATATCCAGAATAATTAATGTTAGACAAGGAAGATCCAATATCAGAGTTTCAACCTGAGATGTGTCTTCTTTGATGAAAGTGGAGTGACTCTCTGATTAGAATGCGTGATGTCAGTTATATACCCTCTCTGATATATCAAGGGTCTTAGAAGGAGTGCTTGATAAGCCTCCTAGATGTGCACCGCATACAAGCAGAGTTGACAGCTGCAACCTCAGCACCTAATACCCCTACATTGGATAGTGTTCGGATTATAATAAGCATTTTGGGTGCACAGTTTCCCACATACCAGTTCCTGCACTAGTAATAACCACTAGGCAAATTGAGAGACCAGTTAAATTTTATAAGAAACGAACAACAGAGAGAAAATTTTATTTGTCAATTGCTGTTTTTTAGACATTCTCTTCAAAATGTCTCATGTTAAAAGATTCAATATTGTACACTGCGCATCAATATAATGCAATTTATGCCACATAAGTCAAATAAATGGGGTATAAAAACTTGGGGTTCAGCAGAAAAATATTACATATTGCACACTCCATGCCTCCTTTGTGACGTTTAAGTGCATATGATCACATAGAATGCAATCATTTTAGATGTGAAGTCATTTAGAGCTACCTTAGAACAAAGAACAAAGCAAATGGAGAATTGCTTAGTTCTGCCTAATATCAATAATATCAATCAATATTGCTTAGTTTTGCCCTAATATCAAACAACAATGACCAATTCAATCGAAGGAACAGCATTAATGTACACAGCATTTCAGAAACACTGAAACACAAAGCAAAAAAATTGTTGACGCACTTAATGTGAATGGCATTCAAATAATCAGGTAAGATTTTGAATCTCAAAATTAACACATGCAATATAGGCTTGCTTTAACATTTTTACATTGTCACCAAATGTTGTTTTGACTGTTCCTATAAGCCATGATCACTTCAGGTATACAGTTTACCTGTAAGAGATGTTGATGAATAACTTATGCTGCAACAGTTCAAGAAAGAAACTCGCAAGAATATTTAATGGCCTCCTCTGTAAAGGTTTGTAAACTAATTGGGCCCTGCCTCCTGTTATATTTACAGATCATGGATGTTGCAAAAAAGGTTATGTCAACAGTAGACAACATCACATAAAATTAAGGCCAAAAAAAGCTGTTGTGGGTTGAGGGGGAAGAATGTCTTATGCAATGTATGGAAACGATGAATTCTCAGAAATGCAATGTAGCTGAGTGACTGATTAACATGATGAAGAGCTTTTTGTGTGGTGAAGGAATAATTGTCTGAAAGATTACCTGAAGATTTAGTGCTAAAAAGAATTCTACAAAATCGAATAAAAGAGAAAACAGAGTATATAATTCATACCATTGAAGTTTATATTGTGAAAAATGTACACACATGAGTAAATACAAGAACATAATGATGTTATTTGTAGAAAGGGGGATCATAACCAGTATTGATGATTATAACGATATATTAGATCAAACATTACTGCAGCATAGTGTCAACAGAGCAATACATAGAGCTTATACAGGATGCTTCTTAATCAGATTATTACATTTTGTTGCTTTGGGTTGGGGATAAATACCTCACCCAATCAATTGTGCATTCTTCTTATTTAAAGGAGTCCTTATTTCCACCCTGTCTTGGAGAGTCAAAAGCAAACAGGGAAAAATAAAAAACCTACTACACAGTCGTGTGCTTGGGCATCAGAGGTAAGACATTACAAAATTAAAATTCTTAATTTCATCCTAGATTTTTACTTGTTAATTAATTATTAACATCATGAAGTGTAAACATCACAAATGTGGAAATAAGACGCACAATCAAAGTATGAATTGGACCGGATCTGCAAAGGCTATGGAGCCTGCCAAAATTCTTTTATTCTATATTGCAGGGTTGAGTTTTTGTTCAAGAGGAGTGTTTGTTCAAGAGGAGTGTTTGTTCAAGAGAAGTACACGTAGGTGCCATTTTGTAATTTATTCATGTTCAATTTGTTCTAGCCTCTAGTTTATGCTATATTTAAATTGCATGTGCATTAACTGCATTAACTAGTATAAATTTTAGAGAAGTCACACTTACCTGAAGTTGACCCTGTAAGAGGCTTGACTTGATGTTTTACATGGTTTCCAATACTAATTGCTCATCATGAAAGTGAAGCTATTTTTATCAATTGATTATTAATGATATTGTGGAAACATGTTAATCAAAATAAGTTTAATCTTACCACTGTTGTTGATAAAGTGAGCAATTTATAAAAAAAAATCTTAAATATCTCTTCAAATTGTTTTTAGAGGAGCAATGTGCTGTCATTTACGAAGGAGTGTCAAATACTAAGGAGTATTATCCTAAAGAGAAAACACATGCTGTTCAGTATTTTCAGTATTTTGAAGACTAAGATTGGATTCATAAAATATATTTTCAACTACTTTTCAGAATTTTAAATGGTGAAATAAAATCCCCTCCCCCCAAAAAAGAATTAGTTAACAACTGTTTAGATTAAAGAAACCTTTGCACTTAAAATATCACCATCTCAATTCATTTGTGATACAGCATCTGCCCCTTTGTTATAGTCACTGTTGGCCATGTTATTGTAAGACTTGAATATATAAGCACAAGTGCCAAGTGGGAAAGGTGACTTAAAATTAGAACCTAAAACTTAAAAGTAGACCCTATATATCCCAAAACCATGATCAAACGTGAAAAGAAACGATGTCTAACATCCCCCTCCCCCAATCAAGAACCAATATCACAATCCAGGACCAGAACACCAAGGGACATTTCATTCATACTGAAGTCATTACAATACATGTTGAAGAAAAATTGATATTGAGACTTTTATACGGGAATGTATAATTCGCCGCCCCAACTACGTGGATTGCCGCCTACCCAACACACCTTGCAGGGTCCAATTTTCTTCTGCATAATTATCACCAGAATAAGACTATTCAGCCAAGTAAATACTATTGGAAGTTAATCATTCATCCAAAAGTTGATATACTTTCACACGGATATCAGCTAGAAATCAATAGGTAGTGTTGAGGCAAAGTTGTATTTTTGAATGGGAAATCGCTCGATCAGTTTGAACTGGTACGCGTACAAAGTTGATGATCGAGTAGTCTGCTTACTTTGACCCACTACAAAACACCCCCGATTTTAAACTCCCAATTAATGTTTCCTGCCCGCCTTACTAGAATCGTATTTAACAATTTGTAAGGTTTTTCATGCTGTTTCAGAAACGTGTATTAAATTCAATTGCATAATGTCCCAAACGAATAAATCGATTTGTGTAAAAATTATAAGTTTTGATTGACATAAGAGGTGTTATTTAGTATCGCGCAACAAGGGTCAAGGTCATCAGAAAACGTGAGCGCAGCAGGTTTGTACTTTTGATTTTATAATTTTTGTATTTGGTATTCAAATTGCGACAATTTTTAAAACATCTATTAATTTGTGTAAAATCTCTCTTATGTATTTGTAAATCAAAATCTGATTGGTGGGGCTCTCTAATCCTAGAAAAAATAAAGTATATTTTTAATCGTACACACCAGCTTTTCATTTGATATCAGTAGGGGATGATATATACACTGTCATTGCGATACATATCATGTTATGGAATGAAGCCGAATTTGTAAGCCTAGCGGTGATTGCGTAATCATTACATGGAATTGCCAGGTGATGCCACGCCCCCTCGATCGGAGTAACAGCTGTTGCCATGGTATACCATTATGTATTTTATGGCGATAGCTCAAGAAAAAATTAAATTAAGACCCTGCAAGGTGAGTTGGGTAGGCGGCAATCCACGTACGTGGGGCGGCAAATTATACATTCCCTTTTATACTGGGTGGTCATATCATTAAGTTCTATGGGAAAACAGTGCTGTAGAAAGAAAGATAATTTTTCATTGATTGATGTCTTACATTTACATGGTGACACTATATACATGGTGTTCAGGAAGTAAGGTAATAGATATTGGCATTTCACCAATCAAAAGCTATGACCACCTGACTTCAGGTACTATAGTGGAGTAAGTAAAACAACATAGATTCTGTGAAAATATCACGAGAATCAAAAAGATATTGAAATGCTTGTATCATTTACCTTGTTTACTGAGCACTGTATATGTTGTTTAATGTTTTCTGTTATGTTGAAATTGTTCAGGCCTTACCAAGTTAATAATTTAACTAAAATAATAATAGGGTTATGGACTTAGTTTCTTTGTTACCAGTCTTGTCATTTGTAACTCATCTGCAAATGTGGAGAAAAACACAAAACACATTTTTCATTTGTTATTTTCCCAATCAAAAACCATCTTTTCATTTAATAAATTGGGGAAATGAATATTATTAAAGTGTACTAAAAGCTCCTCATTATTACATGCTTTAGAGGAGTATTAGCACAGGCCCTTAGCACAGGATTTCATTCTGTGTTTTTATTAAGCCATTTATAGAATGTTACTTCCTCTTATTTGTTATTTGTACAACAGAAAATCATGTACTATTATATGGCCCCTATTTGTCCATTAATATTTAATGAAATGTACTACACGTCTGTGGAAAGCATTTCTGTAGCATTAAATAATTCTGGACAAAATTAGCAATTTGTTTGATTGCCCAGACTATAAGCAGTTGTTCAATATGCTTTCAGGTCAACTTGTAGGTGTAACAAAAATCCAACAATCCAGGAGCAGCATTGGAGCAACAGGAGACATCCAACATATGTGTCCAGAAATCCAACAATCTAAGTCCAAGAGCAGCACTGGAGCAATAGCAGACATCCAACATATTTGTGCAGAAATCCAACAATCCGAGTCCGAGAGCAGCAATGTAGCAACAGCAAACATCCAACATATTTGCCCAGAAATCAACCAATCAACGACCAGCACTGGAGCAACAGCAGAAATCAAACATATTTGCCCAGAAATCAACCAATCTGAGACCAGCACTGTAGCAAAAGCAGACATCCAACATATTTGCCCAGAAATCAACCAATCTGAGACCAGCACTGTAGCAACAGCAGAAATCCAAAATATTTGTCCAGAAATCCAACAATCCGAGACCAACACTGGAGCAACAGCAGAAATCCAACGTATTTGGGCAGAAATCAACAAATCCGAGACCGCGAGCAGTACTGGAGCAACAGCAGAAATCCAAAATATTTTTCCTGAAATCAAACAATCAGAGTTCGAGACCAGCACTGGAGCAACAGCAGAAATCCAAAATATTTGTCCAGAAATCCAACAATCAGAGTTCGAGGCCAGCACTGGAGCAACAGCAGAAATCCAAAATATTTGTCCAGAAATCCAACAATCCGAGACCAACACTGGAGCAACAGCAGACATCCAACATATTTGCCCAGAAATCAACCAATCCGAGAACGAGAGCAGCACTGTAGCAACAGCAGAAATCCAAAATATTTGTCCAGAAATCCAACAATTCGAGACCAACACTGGAGCAACAGCAGAAATCCAAAATATTTGTCATAAAATCCAACAATTCGAGACCAGCACTGTAGCAACAGCAGAAATCCAAAATATTTGTCCAGAAATAAAACAATCCGAGACCAGCACTGGAGCAACAGCAGACATCCGACATATTTGTCCAGAAATCCAACAATCCGAGACCAACACTGGAGCAACAGCAGACATCCAACATATTTGTCCAGAAATCCAACAATCCGAGACCAACACTGCAGCAACAGCAGAAATCCAAAATATTTGTCCAGAAATCCTCCAATCCGAGACCAACACTGGAGCAACAGCAGAAATCCAAAATATTTGTCCAAAAATCCAACAATCCGAGACCAACACTGGAGCAACAGCAGAAATCCAAAATATTTGTCATGAAATCCAACAATTCGAGACCAGCACTGGAGCAACAGCAGAAATCCAAAATATTTGTCCTGAAATCCAACAATCAGAGTTCGAGACCAGCACTGGAGCAACAGCAGAAATCCAAAATATTTGTCCTGAAATCCAACAATCAGAGTCCGAGACCAGCACTGGAGCAACAGCAGAAATCCAAAATATTTGTCCAGAAATCAACCAATCCGGGAATCTATTGATATCAAAATCACTACATGCCAGTCATGTTTTAAGATAAAAACACTTGGAAACCATATTTAACGCCTTTTGATGTTCAGAAATGTAATGTTATGTAATGTTAAGATGTACAGATGGATTTCAGAGAGTATATGGGTTGTATGAAGACAACAGACTAGACATTGTCTTTTCTCGTGTCTATGTAAATGCAACTCCATCCACTTATATGTTATTTGTAATGTTTCAGAAATCATGGTGAGGCTAACCCTCATAATAAGAGACAAGCCCACATCTGCCAATTGGCTTGCTGTTCGTGAGGCCAGGATCTCCTTGTACCTAACCGCCACTCACAGCATATTGATGCGCATGGTATGTATATATACATATATATACTGTATATTTTGTTTGTGTACTTCATCATATCCATTATATTTAAGTTTAAAATGTACATGGACGTATGTACATATTCTTATATATTTATATTATTGAATCTTGGTGTAATGGAATGATATATTAGTCAGTGCAATGATAAATCTAATTTGTTCATGACAATATTAATGCCATTGATGCTTATTTTCTCTGTAGCGCGGTAATTGAATATTAAATTCATACACATTCATCCACGGGAATTTATCATTTCTGTTTATTGCCCTTGATTACCACAGTATTTATAGCTATCTCTTACCTCTTCATTATTATGATCCTCCATAATCATAGCACTCTATTTATAATTTATTTTTCTTCTCATTTAAGTATAACTTTATTAATCATTTTTTAAAATGTTATGAGAACGTGAATCGATTGAGACATTAATAATGTTATTTTTTCTTTCAGGCTGACATTCTTTATGAACCACCGTAATGTTCAAAAGCATTGCTGCCTACAAACGACGACGAAACCAGATTATAACCGGACTATGATTTCAGACCAGCCCTTTCAACACACGTAATCGGATAACTGCTTTCACAAACTTTTACATGGTAAGAAGTGCTAGAAATAATAAACTTTCCTGCAGCCATCTTGCATTCTGGCGACCATGTTTGACAACAAAATCTACAAACACAGCTGACGATGTACATGCCATTCACTCTCAAGATGTGCGCCCTTCAGGCCGTCAAGAGGGCTGACTTGGTGAGACGACTGGACAGCAGAAGCTTTAGGCTGGTCAACCAGGTGTTGACCTTGGAGGTCATTGACCTAGAATTGGACACAAGTCAGACAGCAGCCACAGAGGTCCGCTTTCAGTTATTTCCGCCTGCACATATGTGTCACTGGCAGCTCGCTGTACAGGCCGTCACTGGAGTACTTAGCTCTGATTTAAAAGGCCTGAAGCTGACATACTCTGTTGCGAGCATTGTTTTGAATAAGGAGGGGGTGCAACGGGGGTGCAACGACGATGCGAGAGAAAAATGTTCCTTTAAACTATAAAAAAATCTTGGTTCTCTGCACTGGATTACCTCACAAGAGATTCAAACTATGGCATTCGAGGATGTCAAAGCAGATCATTGGCAAACATGGCTACAGAACAAAGTCAATAGTTATGTTTTGTTAAATCTAACCGAATATGACAAAAGTTAAAACATTTTCAATAAATAATCACATTATCAAACTTTGCATAAACAGTGTTGGAGAACAAATTAAATCTCCACCAGTAATTCTCTTCACAATAGGTGGTCATGCCTTCTCATTTCAACAATTTTTAGATCCTATTTTTTATTTAAAGGATGTGGATGGACTTTTCTCCAATTTTTCAGCACATATTGCAAGGAAAACCATCCCAACTCTTCCCAGGCAAGAAAATACTCAGGAGCCTGATATAGACTGTGGGAAATTACCACATACAGTGACCCCATGTCAAGGTTGGACCTATACAAGGACAAACATCGGAATTATATTAATTCCACTCTACCAACTAGTGTTTTGCTTCTGAGCTGGTGAGCTTCACACCTGATAAATATAAATGCACTTAGAGTTTGCTTTTTCTTGCTAAGTTCCATTACAACTTTTAGTGCTTTCCCTCTGACAACCGTGATCTGCTGAAAGACTTCACAGCCAAACACCATATTCCAATGCTGTATCAGACTTTTAAAACAAAGGATCAATACGGAGTGTTTACCGCCAATACCGTAACAGTGACCAACAGCCCGTTCTAGACATGCAACTTCAACTACTACAAGATGCATATAGTGTATAACGACTTTTAAGTGTATATATATCATGGACATTTTACTTGTATTTCTTTTATATGTTTTCAGGTCATGGTTTTCAGATAGCAAGAGACACGTTATAGATTCAATCTTAGAGCTAATCAATTTAAATCTACATTTGGACAAAGGAGCATTAAATACATAGGACAAACAACATGGACTGAATTACCTGAAACTTTTAAACATCTGAATTCAAGAAATAAATTTAAGTCAGATTTGAAAAAGTATTATCTGGACAAGTATTAAATTGATCTGTATAACATTTAGCTATATGTGCTTATATATATGTATATTTCTTTCTCTTCTTTTAGTTTTCTCCTAACTTTCTATCTTTAAAAACAGTTTTATATCTTGTCATCTTGATTAATACAATTATGTTATGTAATCATATGTAACTATATACACCCGCATGGGTGTCAGTTGCCTGTACAATGAACATTGATATAATTGATGAATAAACAACTATGTAAACTGTATTTCATTGTTTCAACAAAATGGTTATATAACACAGTCTCTCAAAAACAAAAGAAGCCTTTAAAGAAAAAGGTTGAAAGAATAATGACCAATTTTATTCACTTTTAACTTTGGATAATTTAATAATATCATTGTATGGTTATTTTTAAATTTGAAAAATTTAAGGTTATTTAATTTTTTTACTTTTGAAAATAAGGATACCAAAGCCAAGACACAGCTGCCCTGGCAGATGGTACAGCTGCTAATCTACCAGAGCAAACCTATGCAGACAAAGACTATGGACCATTCCCAGAGGTTGCTTTCAAACCAGCTTGCAGACCTAGGGTTCAGCTTTGACAGCTGACCAGACAAGGTATTCTTGAATTCAAGACTAATTTCTATCTTTTCTCTCTTCAATGATGAAATTCTAAATCTCAACAACTTTGCTATGAGTGAAAACGATTCAAAAAATGCTTTACAAAGAAGAAAAATGTAGTTATTTAATGGTTAAACTACTATCGTTGGGAGTCTGACACACTGTGGGGATGGAGAAAGTAGAGAGGAAGGTAAGTGTAAGAGATGCTAATGTAGCGACCAGGGGCCCGACATTTGTAATTTATCGCCAGTATGGCAAAGGGACCTGGTCGATATTGTACTTCCCTATATTTTACTTACTGAAAATAGTGTTTTTACAAATCCCTGGTTGAATTACTTCCGCTCTCGTTTAAAATCTCGTTTAAAATCTCGTGAGATACGAGACGGAAGATCACATGATCATTAGCCCGCGAACATAGTTCGAGGTAGTATATTTGCAACGTGCTGAGGGACGGACGTGCTCCCATCATGGCTTCAACTTCAACAGCTGAAACTTGGGTAGGCCTAAATAATTACATTCCGTGGCTTCATAGTTACTTCATTTATTTATGGTCATTTATTTATGGTCATCTATATAATGTGAACTTCATTTGGAAACTCATTGGAATTTCTAGCGTTTGAAGTCTACCAGTTCAAATTTCATATAATTTTATAAGCCAGTATTTTATTCAATTATACCACGTTGCAAGTATACTCCCCCTTCTATTTATACTCATATTTCTTAGATAGGAGGTCATTTATTACTTTGAATACATTTTTGACTGTAGTGTTCAGGTGTTTAGGCAATGTTTAGTCACTATTGATAAACCATTTTATCGAGAGGTTTTCAGGTTCTATTTCAAGCCTATGTTTTATACTTACCTTTTGGCGGGAAATTCAATCCTTTTGGCGGGTTATTATGCCTTTTGGCGGGTAATTATGGTTTTTGGCGGGAAAATATTACCCTTTGGCGGGAAAATACTACCCTTTGGCGGGAAAATACTACCCTTTGGCGGGCAATTACACCTTTTTGGCGGGAAAACTTTACCTGCTTTGTCAATCATGTTTGAGGGTACAAATCTCTACTGTTTTTATGGACGTATTATTTCAAAAGCTTATGGGTAAAAGCCTTATAATTATTGGGGAGAAATTCCTTGCAGTGAGTTGAATTGTGTTTTTGTGGATGAATTCCTTCATTATGGGTACATTTTATGGATAAAACCCTCATGTTTTGGTTGGAAATCCGTTCTCATTAGACATGGAAATTCACTGTTTTGGGGATGGTAGATTACTCATATTTTTTTGGAAAGGGAAAACGTTCATCTAACATTTACAATTGTTATTGAGTAAACAGGTATGGTTATTTGTCATATTCCTAAGGTGTTATTGACCATTTTCATCAGCCACGTTTTATCCAGTTCAAGTTCCCGCCATTTTTGTTAGCCATTTACTGGGTAAAATCTGGGACCATTTCAAGTTCCCGCCATTTTTGTTAGCCATTTACTGGGAAAAATCTGGGACCATTTCAAGTTCCCGCCATTTCTATAAGCTCTTTAACAAGGGAAATATTTGGTATAATTTCAAATCCCCGCCATTTTTACTGGCCATCTATTGGATAATTTATGACAACATTTCCCTCGGCCATTTTTACTGGACATCTATTGGGGGAAAATCAATATCACTCCTTTACCACAATTTCTTATTGGACACATTTTGAGAAAACATTACTTTTAAGAAACTTCAATATAAATGGTTTAGTTTCTACTCAAACTCAAACATAACAATTTCTGTACATATTTAGTTCAACATGATCATATCATACTGTAGAACACACATATTTTAAACTGCTATTATCACTAGTGATTATTTTACTTCGTTCATTTCACATGTACTTATGTTCGTTCATTTCACATGTACTTATGTTCGTTCATTAGAGATCATCCATTAAGGATGACATGTACATAGTCCACTTATGATCATCCATTAAGGATGACATGTATATAGTCCACTTATGCTCATCCATTAGGAGTAACATGTACTAAGTAACTTTACATTCATCCATTAAGGATGACATGCACTTAGCCCTTTTACATTCATCCA